TAAACTCAGAAAAGAAAATACAGCAAATAAAGAAAACCAGAATTTAAGCAGAAACAACTATGAAGAATCAAGTAAAGACAAGGAAGAGAGAATTCAAAACCTAGCTGAAGCTAAAGTAAAAACATGTATTAAAAAGGCTTAAAAAAAAGCTAGTTAAGTTTCAAGAATAACTAAGGTATCTTGAATAGGCATAGAGAAGCCTTCTATGAATCACTAAAGCATGGATTTGCTTAGGCAAACTGCTCTAGTAGGAGGAAAATCACTTTTGTGGCTGATCGCACTTGGGCATCTAGGGTAGCCAAGTAAGTCCAGAATTGGAAAAAGAGGGCAGTTATATAGCTAATATAAATTAGTTCTATCTTTGTTATAATACTATGTATGTTTTCTCTTAATAAATGAAGGACAAGATCATCTAAATTAAAAAAAAAATATTTGATGCCTTCTAGCAAAAATGTTAAAAATAATATCTATAGAACCTCTCTTTCAATACAAAGAAGCCTCTCTTTCTTTTCTTTGCTAATTCCTAAAACTAAAGAAACCTCTTTTTCAATTTTTTTGATGATCCTAACTTATATTATACAAACTTAAAGAAAGATCTATAGTGTTCTAGTAATGATCTATGTTATATAAAAAATAAAATACAATTTTTCAAACCTAGTAATACTAAGCTAATATAATATAATTTTTATAAAAGTATATTAAGATCCAGAGAAGATTATATTTATGACTATTTAAAAATTAAAATCTCTAGAAACTTTACCATTTATATGAATAGAATCAGATAAATAATATATAAATAAACTATTGGAATTGTATTATATCTTAAGCCTTAAAAGAAAATCTAAAAAGAAACTTTATCAAGAATGATTTATAATTATATATTGTATTTCACTAATATCTCTATGAATATTAAATATAAGAAGGTAAAACACATACTATTATACTCAAAAAAACTTTTTCTACAACTTTCATTATAGTATATCTTAGTACAAAAATACTTTTCTGACTTACAAAATAGCTCTGAATAATTTTATTAGTATTTTCAAAATGATTTTCTTAAAGAAGTTCTAAAAAAAAAAAAGAAACATAGTTCTGATAATTTGCAAAAATCATTATATTTTACTTCTTAGTAGATTAATTTTAATATTTTAATATGCATTATAATTGTAAAGACTTGGTCTACAACTTTATTTAAGACACTAAGTCAAGGTTATATAGTATAAATACTTTTTCGAAACAGCTTTTGTAAAAATAATTTACAAAGTATTTTTTTCTTTACTGTACTATATAGATAAAAATTTTTAGAAATTTTTCCTACTTTCTATATAGTAAATAACCTTCTCAAAACTCATTACTTTTAGATTACTATATACCTATAGTTACTAAAGAAAATAAGTTTTACAGACCAAGATATAACCAAACTCTTGAATACCTTATAGAGTTAAAATAATTTTACTTTAGATATATGACTTAGATATATTTATATTCTTGTAGATTATGATATTAGATGATACTTATACTCAACATTATTGTAGATATAGATCTAGAACATTATAAACATTACTTTGAACATTCTATTTTTAATTTATTTATATCAAAACAGTTTGCTATTTCTAAGCAAAAGTGAGCTGATAGTAAGAAATATCTCTACCTTTTGCAAGTAAAAAATACATTATAAGACTTACAGTTTGTCAATTCTGACAAAAGGTAACTAGTAGTTTTTATGTTGCTATTTCTCAAAAACATAATAAAGTATAATTTAATTTATCAAGCTAAGAAGATTTTTTTTTTGTTATTAAGGCCACTTCCTTGGCCAATTAGATTTTTATTAGTTTGTTATTATGGAATTATCACATGAATAGTTTCTTAAGGTTTTATAGTTACATGATGAGTGTACAACAAGCCACATATACAACTTTAGTCATTGTCTAATTTAAGTAGTTCGCCATACAGACGATCGACCATCTGTTAGTTCTACACTATGCTGCCATACCTGCAACCCGCCTGTGAGTTACCTATT